CTCACCAGTTTTATAGAGGAATCTGGCAAACCCATGTGGAAAGCTGAACTAGTTGGAGCTTTGTTTTGGTCCATCTGATCATAACTTTGTACTGTAGTCAGCATCAAATCAATGCTCTCCAAGTACAGCCAATAGTGGGAGGCTGCAGAACAGAAGCAGCTCATACCAAGATTAAAAATGGGTGTCTAGGTAGATGGAAAGTTAAATGCTTTCTGAGGGATTCATGAAAGTCCACAAGATAAAAAGGGGAAGATCCATCAGTTTCTCTTTCTCTTTGTTTTTGGATTTTAAAAATGTATAACACTAAATGCACTGAGGGAATTTAAATGGTATCGAAATGCAATGAAGTTATTCAAAAGGAGTATATCAAATTCGACTATATTAGAAAATGTACTGTGTCCAAGTCAACAACTAGAAGCAATTAATGTATACAGCCAAAGAAAATGCAATGTGAAATGCTTAGGTAACTAACCAAACATAGCAAACATTAGTAACTAATATACCAAGCATCACAGAAAGTCTACTGTAACATACATTACCAAATACAATACAATATAGCAAAGTAACTAGACAGAAATGTCTATGCTGAACAACAGAAGAAATAAGTGCTTTAAGTAATTATTGTCAGGGAGAAGTATATAAACACATGATGGAAATCACAGTATCGAACCTGTTTCATTCGGAGTCTTCCTCAGGTACCTAAATGTCATAAAACAGAACAAGTGACCATTTTATGCTTATGTAAACAGACTTTTCAAATAAATATGTTGCATTTCATCACTCTAACAATAGTTAGTGTTTTTAACATTTTTGTTTAAATGTTGTGTTGCTTTTGGTCTTGCTTAGGGTTGATTCTATTATTTTAAAGCCTTTTTTCAGTTCCTACTATGAAGAATATAATCTTCCTGAATTTTGGAAAGTTTGTGTTTAAAAAATAAATCCAAGACAACATTCTTCCCAAGCTGTACTGGCCAGTTTCAAAAGATTTGGTTGTGGAGAAAACCTCACTGATCTCCGTGCCCAATAGGGTTAAAGTAGGAGTGACAACTCTAATTCAGCATTAATTTATTTGAATAAATGCAAATTCAAACCTAGAGTTTTTAAATTTAAACACACAACATACAGCCTGGATGGATGAATCTCTCAGTTTCACTTTATCTCAGCTTCAAGTGTTTTAAAGTTCTTTGCACCTTACATATACATAAATGTGCGAGTGTTAGAAAATTGAAAAATAAATTTTGATCCATTTCAATCACAGGCACAAAGTGACCTGAAAGCACATCTGTGCATGGGTTCTTCTCCAACCATGGTTCCAAACTCCCTCAACGGGTTTCTGTATTGTGGGATTCAATGCCAGGTCAAACAGTTGCTGGGAATCCCCTGGCTGGCTCAATATCTCTAGTGATTCATCTGATTTGTTTTGATTGCTCCCAAACCTGCTTGAAACGCAGGAAGAAAAGCTCTCGTTGCCTGTAGCTTCGAGAGTGGCAGGCAGCAAGGAGCCATTCTATGCCCAATCACTCAACAAGATGGATAGAGATCAAAGTGGAGGGGAAAACTCCATGGCTCAAAACTGATCTCTCCCACCCTTTGGGCATCAGAACAAGGTGGCTGCCATCAGGATTTTAAGAGCTGCCATACTGAAGTTTCCTTGCCACAAGAATCTGTTACTAATTCATAGCTTAAGGTCTCATGCTATTAAGCTACCTTCCACCAGTCAGGAAGTGGACAAGAGCAGGATTATTGCCTTGACAGTTATCTAATCTCAGTTGTTTGCAAAATATACAATGTACAGATGGGCTGGCAGAGCCAAATAAAAAAGTCGCATGGATCTCTGGAGGTTAATAATTTTGATGGAAGTCGTGGGGTATAGAGCTGAGGTTATTTTGAGAAAGGACGCATGTTGATTGCGCAAGGTTCTCCCACCAGGAAGATTTACCAGAAAGCTTCCTTTAGTCTTTGAAATTTAGCAGACTCTGGCATGCTTTCAGGCTTTTTCTGTAACAACTGAGGCAAAACATCAACAAAAAAACCCAACCCTACTTTTTTTCAGAAATGCAATTATTGGGATGCTCAACATGTGATCACACATTCAGTTGAACAAAGAGATAAAATCTAATGTTGTGGGTGTCATGAAATAGCTTTCCAAAAACAGTCCTTGGATTTGAGCCTTAGAGGATGCATCTTGGGACTAATCTCTCTTTTAGTCAAGTCACTGAAGGGCAAAACTCCTGCACCAAGAGGCACCTAGAAGCTAGGGAGGAAAGCTGGCTTCAGCCCAGAGTTTGCTTACTGGTCTTTATCATTTCCCAAGGTCAGGCTGTGATTCTCTCACAAAATAGCTTCCCCTGTTTTCCCATGCTGTGTTCAGCTGTCCTGACTGCCTGTTACAGAGGGACAGTATTCCCAAAATATTCCATAGAAGTGTTTATGTCTAAGGACAAGAAAAAGATAATAGTGAGGCTTGAGATGAGCGGGTTTTTGGCTTATCAACTGTAGACTGCAGGTGTCTACTTTTAAAAAATACTATTCCACATGGAAATGAGGAAGTGTACATGCCAAGAGAAAGGATTTAGTATAACCCTCAGCTCAATTTTATTACATGCATTAAAATATGGGAGAGTATTCAATAATAGCTAGTATGCAAGTTAGTTCCTGCATTAGGTAGCCAGGGCAAAAGGGAGGCAAGACAATTGGGGCAGCTCATACCATTTTCCAAAACTGATTTATATCAATATTTACACAATAGGAAAATGAGTACAAATTGTGGAGGTTATAGTATGCAGAGAAAAAAAATCCCCAGAAGATGTAATGGGACCTGAAAGCTACCTTTTCTGGCATCCCACTGGATCCTCTCTGAAGTAGGGCACTGGTGAACTCCTGCTGTATTATAAATTAGATGGCTCAATGTGCGTGAACACTTACATGGTCATAAATGTGAACACAAGTAGCCAAAAGTGGCTACTTCTGGGACAAAGACCCCCTGCATTTTCCCCAGTTCTACTATAAATTTCTTCTTGTGGCTTCAGCAAAATGCACCAGTCACCATCTTCAGTATGAACATGTGCCAGCAAAGATAGTGGGCAGCGGGATCTCAGGGCTTTTGTATTGCTTTCAAATGAAGGCCACCAAAAAGAAGAGAAGGCTCACTAATTTGATGAGTGAGCCAAGCTCACTTCAAACTCAAGAGTCAAGGGAGGGAGTTAGATCCTGCAGGGAGCAACAATGAAGCACATTTCTTTTGTCTTCAGTCAGTCAAGCTGCTGTCTTCCTGCATTTTTGCAATGTGGAATTGGAAAAAATTACCCACTGCATAACACCATGGTGGCATATGGATTATCACTGGGGTGCATTCATACATATTTTGTGACTGATGCTCTTCAGGTATATTTCTCATTGTTTAAAAAGGAGGAAAGAGCCTGGTGACACCTTTAAGAATAATCCATCACACACTTATTTGAACTTCAATCAGCTTCTTTAAATGCACTTCTTCGGATGTGCCCAAAGAAGAATGTTGTCCATCAAAGATTAAAGTACCACAAGACTCCTTCATTCCTTTGAAAAACTACCTATTGGAAGGCACTAATCTTTAACACTACCTAATCTATTATATGGACCTGTCCTATTTTTGTCCAGCAGCTGAAGACCCTGTGCAGACAGTGCTTAATTGTTCAGTTTTCCCTAGGCTGCTTCTGGCTGTCCCAGACTTCTCTGCCTTTGGCTAAAGCTCCCAAGTCTCTCTGAAGACCCGAAGGGTGTAGGGCAGGAGATGTTCCAGCAGCCCTTTCTGCCCCCCACCCCTCTCCCCAGTGAAAATAATTAATTATTTCCTACAAGCCTCCTGGAGCAGCAATTCACTTCTAATAAGTTGCACCGCCACTCCCCACTACATTTAAAAACATTCTGTTTTCAAACTACAAATAGAGTTCCATCCTCCTTGTTATTTTTATTTTCATTTTGTGTTTGGTTATTTTGGCAGTCCATTTCTTGTTGTTGTTGTTGTTGTTAGGCCCCGGGACCAAAACATGCCCCTAGACCCACTTGAGGTTGCTTTTTTTGGGGGAAACCTAATCCTCATGAAGTCAACATAACACAACTACATTATTATTATTATTATTATTATTATTATTATTATTATTATTATCTCAGCAAGATTAGTACACAGCAAACAAGATCACTGTGTTGGTTGTTGTATTGGATCTCATGTCGAACACTTCCCAAGTGTCTTGGACTTTGTGATGTATCGGCGAATAACGTGTGCAGATCCCAGTAGGGTGCCCTTTTGCAGCTGACAAATGGTAATTTTGTCAGTGCCAATTGTGTTTAAGTGGAGGCCAAGGCCTTTAGGCACTGCACCCAGTGTGCCGATCACCAACAGGACCACCTTGACTGGTTTGTGCCAGAGTCTTTGCAGTTCAATCTTTAAATCCATGTATCGTGTCAGCTTTTCCAGTTGTTTCTCTTCAATTCTGCTGTTGCTGGGGATTGCAACATCGATGATCCATACTTTATTATTATTATTATTATTATTATTATTATTTGGCCCCTGGTGAATGCTGGGACAGAAACATGCTCCTAGACCTACTTGAGGTTGCTCATTTGGGTGGGGGGGATGGACCTAAACCTCATGAAGTCAGCATAACACTTCTACACAATGAGGAAATATATCATGCCGACACAGCATGTACTTCTTTCTTCTAAAAATTCCCTAGTCTAGATGAGATATAAGGGTTCACTGGGCAGCTGATCATTATTAACATTGGATCTTTCTGTGGATACATGTGGAGCCAGGGTGTTTGGTGCTTACAGAATACCGTGTATCCACTCTGGGTTTTATTCTGAATTTTAAAAGAACTATCCAAGATTTTGAATTCTATCCTCCTAAAATAAGAGTCAGTGCATTGGGTAGCTCCTTTACATTAGAAATAAAAAGCAGAGTGGAAACCACTGGAGTCAGCCTTGTTTCCCCCAGAGCTAACCATGTCACTTCATCTCGAGTGTTTCCTTGCCTTTTTATTCCAACCTCTCTAGGGCAGTGGGCAGCCCATTGGTCATGGATCCCAACAGCATCTGCAGAAAGACCAAGCGGTTGGCTGGCAAACAGGCTGAGCTTTGTCAGACGGAGCCTGAGATTGTGCAGGAGGTGGCCAAGGGTGCCAAGCTGGGTGTGCGTGAATGCCAGTACCAATTCCGCTTTCGCCGCTGGAACTGCACCAGTCACAGCAAATATTTTGGCAAGATTTTGCAGCAAGGTGAGTTAAAGAGGCAAATTCTATCTTGAGGTTTTTTGCCTTTGTCTTAAGGACTGATAGACACCTCCAAAAGGATCTTATAAAGACAGAGAGAAGAAAAGGGAATATCCTTCAAAAAAGGGCCGTGTGCATGAGAAAAAAACTCCAGAAATGCCAATGCCGATGCCCTAGAAGATTGTATTCTACAAGACTCCTCTCAGTTATCATGATATCAAGGCATGGTGGGGGAATAAAAATTGCTTGTTTCACTGGAATAAGGGAGCATTGGATAGCTATAGAATTGTTTTGGTGCCTTGGGGGAACCCTCAGCTTTATTTAATATGCAAGATATTATCAAACTGAAGCTTATTCTGAGCAGAAGCATGAAATCCTTTCATAATTACTCATTAGTTATCAGAGTGTACTAACATTTCATAGTTATCTCAGACTCCTCTGGGATGAAAATGTTTTCCACAAATATATGATCAGAGCATTACCATTAGGTGTAGCAAGGCAAGTGCCTCAAGTAGTAGCTACTGGGAGTGGCAGTGATATGTTGGAAGTCAGAGTATTCCCTCCAAGTAATCATAGAATCATAGAATCATTCAATTGGAAGAGACCTTGTGGGCCATCCAGTCCAACCTCCTGCCAAGAAGTAGGAAAATCACATTCAAAGCACTCCAACAGATGGCCATCAAGCCTCTGCTTAAAAGCCTCCAAAGAAGGAGCTTCCACCACACTCCAGGGCAGAGAGTTTCACGGCTGAACAGCTCCCACAGTCAGGAAGTTCTTCCTCATGTTCAGGTAGAAGCTCCTTTCCTGTTGTTTGAAGTCATTGTTCCACATCCAGGGCAGCAGAAAACAAGCCTGCTCCCTCCTCCCTATGACTTCCCCTCACATATTTATACATGGCCATAATGTCTCTTCTCATTCTTCTCTATGTGAAGCCATAAGGATTTATAGGTTATTATCACAACTTTGAATTGTGCCGATAAGCAGGCCAAGAGCTGTTGCAGCGTTGTAACAAGAGAATGATATGTCCCAGTGAATGGTCTGGCTTCAGCTACTTATGCCAGCTGAAATTTCTGAGTCCTGAGTTCCCTGAACTGCACGTCTCACAATAAACTGCCCTAAAATTGATACACCTGTGCAATTTTCACATACAATAAACTACATGTGGGTTTGGGGTTATTTATTTCTTGCAAATAAATGCTCTCCATTAAAGACATTGTATGAATAAGCTTTTCTGTGCCCAGAGCCTTCAAGTGGAAGTATTAGATCATATCGGGAAAGAGAATGTATATGGCTTTAAGGGTTGCAACATTTAGTTGATTAATTGCTTTTAAACCCTTTGATCCATTAAAAAAGTTCCTCCAGGCATCCGATTTTTAAATCAAATTGTAATTATTGTAATTGAGAGTACTTATGAAAACGAACATAACAAGTTCTTAGCTGCATTCCCCCTTCTCTTGCTCTACAGAAGAAATGGCCCTTTTAAGATGATCTTCCTGTGACTCAGTCACATGGATCATCTAAAGCAAATGGACCATCTAAAGCAGTGGATCTCAACCTTCCTAATGCCGCAACCTTTAAATATAGTTAAATATAGTTGTAGTGACCCCCAACCATAAAATTATTTTTGTTGCTACTTCAGAACTGTAATTTTGCTACTGTTAGGAAACATAATGTAAATATCTGATATGCAGGATGCAGTTTCATTAACTGGACCAAATTAGGCACAAATACCTGATACACCCAAATTTGAAAATTGGTGGGGGGATTTATTTTGTCATTTGGGAGTTGTAGTTGCTAGGATTTATAGTTAACATTCAAAGAGCAAACTGAACCCCACCAATGATAGAATTTGACCAAACTTCCCACACAGAACCCCCATGACCAACAGTAAATACTGTGTTTTCTGGTGGTCTTTGGAGACCCCTCCTCATAACCCCTCCAGGGGTCCCAATCCCCAGGTTGAGAAACACTGATCTAAAGCAAATACATTTTTTCTGTATCATTGATGTTTTGTTCACTACAAATGTATGTGTTTGTAAATAATTCAATAGTTAAAGACTCAATTAAAATTTATAACCAAATAAGATTACTTCAATATGGGGATTGCCCTCTTCAAAACAAGTAGAATTGGTGTGGCTTTTAGTTTTGTTTGAAGGGAATCCTTTCTTGACCATTCCTTTCACAACAGGAGTGGGCAACATGTGGCTCTCCACATTCTGGACTACAACTCCAATGATCTGCCACCATTGGGCATGCTACATAGATCTGATGAGAATTGCAGTCCAGCCAAAGATTTGTAAGGCCACACATTCCACTCTCCTCCGTTAACACTTTAATTAACATTTTCATTGTTCCCCTCCAAAGACAGGGCCAATGCTGCTCCAGTGTAAGGCAGAGGGATTGCTGGGTCCTTGGGGAAGACACAGGTTATTGCTACAGGCCAAAGGTTTACTGCTGTGACATGTCTCCTTGTCCTTGTAATGAAGCAATTATGGATGCTCCCAGACAACACAGCAGCTTTTAATAAAGCCCAAGAATGTATCCCTGTCTGGGAGTGATTTACTGCCCCTCCACCTACCCTCCGCATAGACTGTGCTCCTACATGTCCTTATAGTTTCCTCCAGGCTTCCCAGCAACCTGACAAGAAATGAGCTGGGCAATAAATAATACAGACCCCCAGAAAGGCCCCTTGCCATATAACAATACTGAATGGTGGCACCTCCCCCCCCAAAGTTGTATCCCAAACAAGAGGGAAAAGGCAGGTCAAAAGAGCAGAAAGGTTCCTCCTGTGATGCTCTTGAGCGAGTGGACTCACTGTAGGTGTGATGGATTTAGCCGGGCTCATAAAGACCAAATTATAAACAGTTTTTTTAATAAGCCAGACAATATGATGTAGTGGTTTGAGAGTTGCAATAGGATTTTAGATATCCAGGGTTCAAATCCCCACTCAGCTATGGAAATAACCGGATTGACCTTGGGCAAATCTTTCAACCCAAAAGAAAGGCTATGGCAAATCTCAACTGAATAAATTTTGTCAAAAAAAAAATGCTTGGATAGGGGAAGAATACGTTGAAATAAGAGGAAATGGGAAAACCACCTCTGAGTTTCTCTACCTAAGAAAAACCTATGAAATTCATGGGGTTGCCATAAATTGAAGGTGCATATGAAGTTGGAGTTGACTTGAAACTACATTTATTTATTTATTTATTTATTTATTTATTTATTTATTTATTTACTTTGCTTATATACCGCTGTTCTCAGCCCGAAGGCGACTCACAGCGGTGTACAACATAGAAAAAACAGGGTTCAAAAATCAAGGCACAATCTAAAACAATCCACAGTCCAGCATTAACAACAACATTATCATCAACAACATCATCAATTACTACAAAAGCCATTTCACATTGTCTCATCGTCCAAACCACAATCCAGTATCATTTTCCGTTGTTCCATTCCTATCGTCCTTACCAATCATTGCACTTCTTGTTCGAATACCTTCTTGAACAGCCAAGTTTTTAATTTTCTGCGGAAGACCATCAGGGAAGGTGCCAGTCTGATGTCCACGGGAAGGGTGTTCCACAGCCGAGGAGCCACCACCGAGAAGGCCCTATCCCTCTCTCGTCCCCGCCAGGCGTGCCTGTGAGGCAGGCGGGATCGAGAGCAGGGCCTCCCCGGAAGATCTCAAAGTCCTGGTGGGTTCATAGGCAGAGATGCGGTCGGATAGGTATCTTGGGCCGGAACCGTTTAGGGCTTTATAGGCCAACGCCAGCACCTTGAATTGAGCCCGGTAGCAAATCGGCAGCCAGTGGAGCTGGTACAACAAGGGGGTTGTGTGCTCCCTGCGTTCCGCTCCTGTTAGTAACATGGCTGCCGCACGTTGGACCAATTGAAGCTTCCGGGCCGTCTTCAAGGGCAACCCCACGTAGAGAGCGTTGCAGTAATCTAAGCAGGATGTAACCAGAGCGTGGACTACCGTGGCCAAGTCAGACTTCCCAAGGTACGGGCGCAGCTGGCGCACGAGCCTAAGCTGTGCAAATGCTCCCCTGGTCACCGCCGAGACCTGGGGCTCCAGGCTCAGCGATGAATCCAGGATCACACCCAAGCTGCGAACCTGCGAACAATAACAGGAAAGATCCCTTTTAGGATATTAATGCATTAAATGAATATTGGTGTGAAAAAAATTATTTCTCCTTCTCCATACTATCTCTTTAGTGTGTTGTATCAGAACTTTTGGACACCTACATGGAGGTGTCAAATCTCATAATGTTCCAAGAACTGCAGATGTTTCCATTGTCATCCCATGATTTGCTAAAATGGCCAAGTAATGCCATCTTTCAATATTTCCGAGTGGATGTTTTTGGCCTTCAAAGCAACAGGTTCAAAAGGGCCAGACAGGTGGAAGAACCAAACACTTTCTCCTTCCTTGTCAGCTATCCCACCAATAAGAGGAATCCAAACATAGTGAATCAGGCAAAAGTGATAGTCCAGTTGCAAGTGGCCCCTGTAGTACATGCTGGTTTTATTCTTCAACATTAACATGACTGTGTTAATAATTACATCCATGGGTGGGTAAACACCTTAACAGAAACAGAGTAAAGGGACATGGGGCAACACTAAAGAGATAGTGCGTTGCTGTCAGTTTTCCAGGTTGTATGGCCATGTTGCAGAGGCATTCTCTCCTGACATTTCACCCACATCTATGGCGGGCATCCTCAGGGGTTGTGAGGTGTGTTGGAAACTAAACAAGTGGGGTTTATATATCTGTGGAATGTCCAGAGTGGGAGAAAGAACTCTTGTCTGCTTGAGGCAAGTGTGAATGCTGCAATTGGCCATGGCCACAATTGCCTCAAGCAGGCAAGAGTTATTTCTCCCACCCAGGACATTCCACAGATATATAAATCTCATTTGCCTAGTTTCCAACAGACCTCACAACCTCTGAGGAGCCTGTCTTAGATGTGGGTGAAATGTCAGGAGATAATGCTTCTGGAACATGGCCATACAGCCTGGAAAACTGACATACTCTCAGCAATCTAGTGATTCCAGCCATGAAGGCCTTTGACAATACACTAAAGATATAGTATGGAAAAGGAGAAATGAAAGGCCCTTTCACATTACACAGTTATAGCACTACTATTCCACTTCAACTATCATGGCTTCATCCTATGGAAATCCTGGGGTTTAATTAAAGAGAGATATTTGATCCACTTTAAGAAAGATTCGGACTTGTTTTTCACTTTTTCACAATAGTGGGAAAAATGTCAGTTGTAGGATTTATGGATTAGATAAGTAGAAGTGTGGTTATTTATATAGCACTAGAAAAATAAGGGGGGGGGGAATCAGCAGACAGTGACTTGTTTCTGCATTTTTGTGTTTGCTAGTTAGTACAGTTAGTTTACCTATGCTAATGTCGGCAAGTGTATTGAGGTGTTAATTTTTATTTGGTTCTGTAGTAGCTAGTTAATTTTAGGAAGATACATTATCAAATTCTGCTTCTTTTTGTATTTTCATTGTTCTTTTGCAAGGTTTTCTTGTTTTCTGAATAAAAATAGGGTTGTTTTTTTTTTAAAGGAATCCTGGGGTTTGTAGTTTGGAGAGGCACCCAGCTTTCTGTCTGAGAATTTTAAATGCCCCTCCCTAAACTACTGTTTCTTAAAAAGTAGGTAGGGCCCAGCCCCATATTGATTTGTTTACTGATAACCCATATTGATTTACGGATTTATTTTCAGTAAGTCATGGAATCATAGAGTTGGTAGAGGCCTTGTGAGCCATCCAGTCCAACCCCCTGCCAAGAAGAAGGAAAATCACATTCAAAGCACCCCGACAGATGGCCATGCAGCCTCTGGTTAAAAGTCTCTAAAGAAGGAGCCTCCATCACACTCCGGGGCAGAGAGTTCCACTGCTGAACAACTCTCACAGTTAGGAAGTTCAGGTGGAATCTCTTTTGCGGTAGTATGAAGCCATTGTTCTGCGACCTAGTCTCCAGGACAGTAGAAAACAAGCCCGCCCCCTCCTCTTTAGGACTTCCCCTCATATATTTATACATGTTTGGTTTTTACATCCATTTTATATACCTTTATACCTGGGGTCACATAAATATTTCTCTGGGAAAAAAGGGTTGTGAGTGGAGAAAGTTGAAGAAGCCCTGCTCTAAAGCACAAATCTCAGAATCCCTTGGGATGGAACCATGGCAGTTAAAGTGGAGTCTTAGGCTGGATCTACACTGCCCTATATCCCAGGTTGTGATCCTAGATTATCAACTTTTCCCAGATTATCTTGCAGTGGACCAATAGAGGAAGAAACATGACAGACTTTATATTTCTAGGTGCAAAGATTACTGCAGACGCAGATTGCAGCCAGGAAATCAGAAGATGTTTACTTCTTGGGAGGAGAGCAATGACCAATCTCGATAAAATAGTAGAGAGTAGAGACATCACATCGGCAATGAAGAACCTCATAGTTAAAGCCATGGTATTTCCCATAGTAACCTATGTATGCGAGAGCTGGACCATAAGGAAGGCTGAGCGAAGGAAGAGAGATGATTTTGCAGTATGGTGTTGGAGGAAAATTCTGAGAGTGCCTTGGACCGCAAGAGGATCCAACCACTTCAGGAAATAAAATTTGCCTGCTCACTGGAGGGAAAGATATTAGAGGCAAAGATGAAGTATTTTGGCCACATAATCAGAAGTCAAGAAAGCTTGGAGAAGAGAATGATGCTGGGGGAAATGGAAGGAAAAAGGAAGAGGGGCTGACCAAGGGCAAGATGGATGGGATCCTTGAAGTGACCGGCTTGACTTTGAAGGAGCTGGGGGTGGCCATGGCTGACAGGCTCTGGCATGGGCTTGGTCCGTGAGGTCACCAAGAGTTGGAAGTGACTGAATGAATAAACAACAATAACAAAGAAAGTTGAGACTCATACAAGGGTTGATTAAAAAGTAATGCCTCCACCTTTGTAACTCCTCAACAGATGGCAGTACAGGTATGCGGCAGGTACTGGCTTGTTCAGTAGACTCTCCTCTACAGTTCCATTTTGGCAGGAAACCTTAGCATTGAACAGTTGTATTGTTAAAGTGTGAAGTATGGAACACTGCACAGACAGTCAGTCAATGCAACTTAAGCAATGTGCAGTCATTGAATTCTTGACAGCAGGTGTCACCTCAATGTCTTTAAACTCACTCGCCCAATGACGTACAGTATTCACATCAACACAATCACTATAAACAGCTTGCATTCTCTGATGAATCTCCTTTGGGGTGACGTCTTCTGCTGTCAAGAATTCAATGACTGCACGTTGCTTAGGTCGCACTGACTGACTGTCTGCGCAGGGTTCCATACTTCGCACTTTAACAACACAACTGTTCAATGCTAAGGCTTCCCGCCATAATGGAACTGTAGAGGAGAGTCTACTGAACAAGCCAGTACCTGCCGCATTATGAAGGTGGAAGCATTACTTTTCATTCAACCCTTGTATAATCTAGTTCAAAACAGATAAACTGGAATCAGAACCTGGGATATAGGGCAGTGAAGATCCAGCCAAAGTGATCTCCTTCTGTAGTGTGCACAGAAGAGCTTCACAGGGGGCGTGGAGAGCAACATGCCCAGCACATTCGTGCACTTCTGGGAAACCATAGCCTGGCGAAGTCTAGGAAAGTGAGGGCTTGGGATTGCAACTCCCAGAACCCACAGCCAGCTTCCCCGATTTTTCTCAGGAAGGTAAAGAAGGGAGATGCCCGTTTGTTTTTTCAGCAGTGGCTGAAGAAGCGCAGGGCGAGTGTTGGCAAAGAGTTGAAGAAAGCAAGGAGGCTGAGGGTGCGGCAGAAGGAGAGAGCGAGAGAGAGAGAGAGACGGAGAGAGGGAGAATGGAGAATCCCCCTTTGGCAGTGGCAGGTCCCAGCACGGCCAGGGATGCCTGGAACTCGTGTCCCGCGGCGGAGGGGAGACTGGCGCCCCGCCGTCAAGAAGCATCCAGATTATCCAGAAAGCAGGCAGGCAAGCGGGGAGGGAAGGAAGGGGCATTCCTAGATGTTGCTGACTTTGGAAGGCAGGCAAAGGTCTGGGTGGCTTTGTCATATTTAATTCTGCAGTGTAGTGACACCTTGATGTCAGCAGTGCCATTCCCATCTCGACCCCTCCGCACGGCTGGGAGTATCCAGTGATCTTTCTTTAAAGCGTAATATTTTAGCTCAGGGATCCTCAAACTTTTTAAACAGAGGGCCAGGTCACAGTCCCTCAAACTGTTGGAAGGCTGGATTATAATTTGGAAAAAAAAACATGAATGAATTCCTATGCACACTGCACATAACTTATTTGTAGTGCAAAAAACACTTTAAAACAATACAATAATTAAAATGAAGAACAATTTTAACAAATACAAACTTATCAGTATTTCAGTGGGAAGTGTGGGCCTGCTTTTGGCTGATGAGACAGGATTGTTGTTGTTGTTTGCGTTCAAGTAATTTCAGACTTAGGTTGACCCTGAGAGAGGGCTGGGTAAATGACCTTGGAGGGCCGTATTTGGCCCCCAGGCCTTAGTTTGAGGACCCCTGCTTTAGCTCATCACACTAGAGAAAAAATCCACTTTAAATTTATTTATTATTTATTTATTTACGACATTTATATGCCACCCTTCTCACCCCAAAGGGGACTCAGAGTGCCTTACAAGATATAGATACATACAATATATTATATTATTAGCATAGTACAATGTCAGTATTATATATTACTATATTGTACTATACCATTATGTTGTAATATTATTAGTAATATTACATGTAATATAAACTATATCATTATAATATCATATTATTATTAGTAGTAGTAGTAGTAGTAGTAGTAGTAGTATATTGTATTACATTATAATATTATAAATATTATATGTATATACAATATATTATATTATTAGCATAGCACAGGAGACAAGGTGGGACTGTCCCCTGGACCCCTCTCTCTTTAAATCCGGATTCTGCCTCCTGCAGAATTCTAGGGTGTGTAGTTTAGGGAGGAGCCTTTAAAAGCTTCACTAAACTACAAACCCAAGAATTCTGCAGGAGACAGAAATCAAATTTAAGGTGGATTTTTTTTCTCTAGTGTGTAAGACTACAACGCAAAACTCCAAATAAATGGGTGAAGTCAAGGCTGGAGGACTGAGCCTCCTTTCCATCAGCACAGATCTACAGAGGGAGGAGGGGGTTCAAGAGATTCCTACATTTAGAGTACATCTATACATAAATAAATGTAATTAGAAACCACATTAACTACCATACCTCAATGCTCCAACATCATGGGAGCTGTAGTTTTCACAAGGGCTTTAGCTGTCTCTGCCCAGGAGTGCTGGTGCCTCGCCAAGCTACAACTCCAAGGATTGCCCAGCATTGAGCCATGGCAGATAAAGTGGCATCAAATTGTGTTAATTCCACAATTTAGATGCACCCTAAGCTATAGAAAAAGATGGCGTTTTCTCCTGCCCACTCTCATCTGTTACAAAATCTTAAATGGAGGAGGCAGAAAATATTGAGCAGGTGCAATCCACATGGAAATACAGTAAGAGAAATCTCCCAAGCCATGGTATGGCCTTTCTTATTGCTTATCAAATGTAGTTTGGTGGTTGTTGAAAAACCCATTTCAGCCTCTAACTTTCTCTGTCTCATATCCCACACAGATATCCGTGAGACAGCCTTTGTCTATGCCATTACAGCGGCTGGTGTGAGCCATGCGGTGACCCAGGCCTGCAGCATGGGCGAGCTGCTGCAGTGCGGCTGCGAGGCAACCCGGAGCCGAGGCCCTCCTCTCCCCCCTGCCCTGACAGGCTCAGAAGGCTCTGCTTGGGAGTGGGGTGGCTGTGGGGATGATGTTGACTTTGGCTACGAGAAGTCCCGCCAGTTCATGGATGCTAAGCGCAAACGTGGCAAGAGTGACATCCGAACCCTTATAGACCTGCACAACAACGAAGCAGGACGTCTGGTAAGGTAGACTCCCAGCTCCTTCCTGTTTGAGTATCAGAAATCCTTTCCCCACAGACAATCCTCCCTGTTTTTAATGGATAAGGCAGTGTGGTGTAATAGTTTGAGCATTGGACGATGTCTCAGGAGCCCAGACTTTGAAGCCCCACTCAGCCATGGAAACCTACTGGGTGATCTTGGGCAAGTCACATGCAGTTTCATAGAAACAAAAGGCTGGAAAAGACTAAAAAGGCCACCTAGTCCAATCTCCTACTATGCAAGAAAATTCGCAGGCAATGTATTTCATTGTTGAACAGCTCTTACCATCAGGAAGCTTTTCATAATGTTTAGGTGGAATCTCTTTTCCTGTAGCTTAAAGGCAAAGGCACCCCCACCTCCCAAATCTAACTAAAAGAACTCAATGATAGGTTCACCTGAGGGTCACCATAAATCAGAAATAACTTAAGGGCAGGCAATCAATTCCTTTAGCGCAGTGGTTCCCAGCCTGTGAGCTGCAGCCCACCGGTGGGCCATGAGACCTAAAATAAGGTCCATGACTCTAGATTATTAAATATGGTTTTTTGTGGGCAAGCAGATTGCAACTACTAGATGGCATACGTTCTGTATCAGAAACTAGAGCTGATGTGGTCTTTCCAATGCAATTTGGTCTATCCAATTCACCCCAAATAACCAAACCGAATCTAAAGTTGACCAAAAACTGGTTTATAACCCTTTTGGTACTAATGTTGGAGAGTGGTCTCTGGTCAAAGTGGTCCCTGGTTAAAGTGGTCCCTCGTCAAAGTGGCCCCTGGTCAAGTGGTCCCTGGTCAAGTGGTCCCTAGTCAAAAACAGGTTGAGAACCACTGCTTTAGCATGTTGTCGAAGGCTTTCATGGCCAGAATCACTGGGTTGCTTTGAGTTTTGTGGACTATAAGGACATGTTCCAGAAGAATTCTCTGGCAGGCATCCTCAGAAGTTGAGGTGTGGGTGAAACGCCAGGAGAGAATGCTTCTGGAACATGGCCATATAGCCCAGAAAACTCACAGCAACCCAATTCCTGTAGCTTTTCTGGATTTTTATGTCTCAAACTTGCTTTGCTGCCTGCCACATTTTCTCTCACTTTTCACTGACAGCACCTTTTCAGACAACTTCATGTGCTCAAAGTAATGTCTCCAATGTAACCCACAGCTGATGTCCTGATTCTACTGCAATTCCTGGGCAAGGCATTACTACAAGCATTGAGTCCTCTAGGTTTTGTTGCACTGAAGTTGCCCTCATTGGTGAGGACTGGTGGGCATTACAGAATAACAGCACCTGGAGGGCCATCCATTTCCCATCCATCAACATCAGGAGCATTACCTGTAATTCAGGTGTAGGCACTTGTGTATGTTTTGTATGCTAAGTGGACAGAACATGGTATCACAATTGCCACTGTACTTCCTCTTGTTCTTCAGCCAAACTCTTACAGTTGTCATTTTCTTGTTTAAGGCTGCATATGCCCATGTTTTTTTGCAAAAGTTTATTTGGCACATAAAGAGAACATCACTGCAAGGGCAATGAGTGGCAAAAGTAGGGCAGGAATGTCACTGCAACAATTTTGTTGCCATAATCTGACTTCACTTGCCCTCACCTTTGTGATCTAGGCAGCCAAATCTATCATCCCAATAACCTGTTGTATATGTCTTTGGCTACCTGTGAAATCATTTGACACGTGTTTTGAAAGATTGAGATATACTTCCCACCATACAATTCCAGCCTGGTGATATCATGTCTGCGCCACACATCAGAGTACAAACTGCCTTCTCAAACTGATTCCTCACCTTTATTTGGCACTCTGGTTTATATATGCAGCTTTCGTTCTTGCTTCTTCCTGCTTACAAGTTTGCATAAATCTAACTACCTTGTTCATCCATGGATGCCCCATATTCTTTTCATCCATAGGCACATTTCCCAGTTTGCTTGTATTGAAATTTCCCTGAATTTTCCTGCAGCCCTAAGGCAGCTTCTCGCTCCTGCCCCTGCCTGTCTTTTCCATACTCACAATCAAGCCTGGCACTCATCCTGAAGTTGCCACCAAAAAGTATATTAGCTGCCAGAACAGGAAGATTCCATGATTGTCAGCAGAGCAAGCACTTCCATTCCATCAATAGATAATTGTGCAGATAAGTTAATACAGCCGGAAGGGATAATAAGTGTATGAACTGATGCCCAAAATAGGCAGATCTATGAGATTATGTGTATAAAGAATTTGTGTGATGCAGTAACTGAGAGTGGGAGGATAACTCTCTGGGGAGATTTAGTTAATTGGCCTATATGTAAGTATACTGTTGCAATATGCAAATCATAACATTGTTTTATATTTCTGCATTAAGCATTTGAAATATAATAAATATGAAGCATCATCTACTACTCTGCAACATAAATGCTATATTTTATTGCTATTCCCCATGCTCCCATCTCTTCAGACCTTGAAAGCAATAAATTAATGGCAGGTTTATTCCAAAAGAGGTTAAGAGTTATTGGGTCCAGGCTACATGACAGAATATGATATCTCAGAGAGGGTTTTGGGTGGGGGGTGGACAACAGTTTATAGATTTGCATGGTTATGGCATCTTTTTCATTCCTCATATATGAACTCCTTCATCACCTGATTTCAGAAGCAACACACACACACACATTTTTGGAACATTAATTCCCCACATATTGCCCTGCAGGTTAGATTTATGTAATTTCTCTCATAGGTTGCCTGGCTGGCATTTTACTCTAAGGCTTCAAAACACACATGGAATTGATACTAAAAAAAAATTCAGCTCAAGAGGCCAAGGAATAAAAATGCACTGTAAAAGGTAGCTTTTCCTTTAATCAAACACAGTCAAGATTGCAATATTATAATCTATTTATAGAATATCAAAGTATATTCATAGTTGTCTTTTTTCTTCAAATCAAAACTAAGGATTGAAAAAAAAACACATATCATGATTAAGATTTAGTATGACCAAGATAAAATTCCTTTGGGAGAAGGAATTGTCCTGAAGGGCTGCCAGTTGGCCATCATAGTCTAAGGACATAAATGCCAGAAGTTTTAGCTGGGAATCCATTTAAATGTATTTCCTTAGAGTTCCCCTTGGTTCTTTGTACACATCCAGTGCAAGTGTTTGCGTGCACTGTTATATAGTTAATATTTTCTTGTGAGTTTCCCATAAGCAACTGAATAGCTCTACTGTAAACAAAATGCTCCACTGGATCCACCTTTGATCTGATCCCATCAGTGTAGCTCATTTTGTGCTCTTATAAACATTTCCTTGCCATACTTAGATGAGTCTTGGTAGTGGATCCAGTGGAGATCTTGTCACTCTTTGGAGCAGGATGCCTCCAAACTTTCTCTTTTAGGCTTTTTGGCATTTTTCTCTCACTTCTTGGTTGCATTGAATGTTTTAATGATCTCCTTATAGCAGAGTGTTATTAGAGATACAAATAGATTTATCCAGTGGCTGTCTCTTTTCCTCTTTGCAGGCAGTGAAGGACCACATGCGGACAGAGTGCAAGTGTCATGGACTTTCAGGTTCCTGTGCCCTACGTACCTGCTGGAAAAAGATGCCCCCTTTCCGGGAGGTGGGAGACCGCTTGCTTGAACGTTTTAATGGGGCTTTCAAAGTAATGGGGGGTAATGACGGCAAAACACTCATTCCTGTGGGCCGGAACATCAAGCCACCAGACCGACAGGACCTCATCTACTCTGCCGACTCACCTGATTTCTGTGTTGCTAACCGCAAGACAGGTTCATTGGGCACACGTGGGCGGGTATGTAACAGCACTGCCCTGGACATGAGTGGATGTGACTTGCTGTGCTGTGGACGTGGTCACCGGGATGAGACACTGCTGCTGGAAGAGAACTGCCTTTGCCGTTTTCACTGGTGCTGTGTGGTGCAATGCCGGAAGTGCACAGTGCGCAAAGAGCTCAGCCTGTGCATTTGAAGAACCAAAGGGAGGACACTAGACATGGATGGCACAGGTTGCACAGAAGAAGAATGTACTCCACCAGCCACGAATCCCAGAAACAGCAAATGTCATCGAGCCCTGATGGGGATGAGCGGAATAAAACTGGCCTAGGTTGGAGCCACAGAGCAGCCAGGAAGAAATCCCAGGAACAGATCCTAGATGCAGGCCAACTTGGAATCACAGAAAAGATTGTATCCAAGTTCTTGAGGTCCAGCACAGTCCCCAGCACTTGATTATAGCCCCTTGTCAGTGCCAAGCTATGGGACCCCAAAGGCCCCCACACACCCTGTTTGCTTACCTAGACATGAACTCCTGAAAAGAAAAATGGTAATTGTGTTACCTGATATTCTCTCACAGCCAGCTCATGCAGCTTGGCTCTATGTAGGTTTCTCTGCCCTTGGGTCACGCACAGATTGCCTGGAGGGGTGTGTTGAGCCTCATGTATTAATGGACCTTTACTATGTCTGAGAGAAGAGCTGAGATTTCCAGACTAGTCACTCCTATGGTTGCCTTGCTTCCCATCAACTTGGGCTGCCGTTTCTCTCTACATTAATAAAGTTATTTAAACTAGCAGCGCCTCTTTTCCAATGTTGAAAAATGAAGTGTTAAGTGCATTAAATAAACATTAGTAACTTAATTACTCACTGAGTGATATAAAGGTGGGGTTTTCCTACCATTACAGGTTCTTTAGAAAATCATGGGAGCATGTCCTAAAGTGTGAGGAAATTATCTGTGTTAGAGACTAAGATAACAGTGTTTATTGCAAACAGAAATTAACTCCTATGGAGCTACAGGCACAGGGGTTGAATGGTGATGTATTTAGTGTCAAGAAGGGCTGGATAGGGCTTGGGATAATTTACTGTAAGTTTTGTACAGAGCTTGGGGAGGTTATTTCTTTTTAGATTCAAGTGGCCAAGATGATTAGGAGCTATAGTCCAAAAAGTGCGTTTATTTTATGTATTTACCTTTAAATTCATATCAGCAAAATCAGGTAAGTTTGATTCCTTAACATTAGCACAGCAAAAAAGGACAAATACCTGAATGTATGCATTTTCTCTTCTTAGGCTCAGTTCAACACAATGTCTTTGAGTAGTTATAGTCAACTCACAGTAAGATCTGAAAAGACTCTAGAGCAGGCATGAGCAAACCTCAGCCATCCAGGTATTTGAACTCCAAATATTCCTAACAGCCTCAGGCCCCTTCCTTTCCCCCCTCAGTTACTTAAGCAGTTGAGGGAAAAAGGAAAGGGTCTGAGGCTGTTAGGAATTGTGGGACTTGGAGTCCAAAACACCTGGAGGGCTAAGGTTTGCCCATGCCTGCTGTAGAGGTTGCTGCTTGCAATGAAAATGCATTGCATAACTATTTCATCTTCTCTTGTTGCTCTGATTGAAGAAAGACACCTGAAAAAAAGGGGGGAAATGGGGGAATTACCAACTGAAGGCAACATTATTTGGACATATTATTTCAGAGAAAAAGTTTCATCTGGAAGCATCTCCATAGGGGAAATATGCCCAAATGCATAAGCAAATGTTAAACTGTCTTCCATCAGTCTCCTTCTAAGAATGTCAGCATGGGGTCATCTCTCGAATATTCTTCCCCACGCCCTTTTTATCATTTTCCTGATATGAATAAATTAATGTCAGGCCTTTGATTCTCATTCTGTTTCATCTTACTCTTTGCACAGAATTTGCTCCTCATCAGCAGAGGGCGCCAGGGACTTTATATAACTTTGCACATAGCTGAGAAGAGCTCAAATTGAGTAGCTCAGCCAGTGACATTTCTGTTGTAATAATTTCCCAGGTGTATGTGCCAAAAAAGGAAGGATACATTCATAAGTATTATTGGATGCTTTCTTTAGCCATGTCCTGCTTCCATCTTATATGTAAGAGACACCTTAGCTGCTCAACTCCAAGAGTTCTGTACTATTTCTACGCCATTCTTCATCACAAATGTTCTACATTGTTCCTTGTTGCAAAAATCTGGCAAACGCCTGCACTTGAAAGTCTTTAATATTGCTTTTGATGAAATCAGCAGAGCTTTTTTTGTTGCTCTTGGATGCCTGGACTGTGATCTATCCACTAAAGAGCTCTCCATGTATGTAGTTAAATCTTACAAAAACTCTCTTGCACATCTGATAAACTCTACTTCTTCAAGCATCCTTTTTGTGTTTTTGTAATCTTACATAGTCCCTAGTCATTGAGAATGGTCATACCTGTGTCATTTCCATGGGTTCAGTTTGCTAAGAAGACACAAGGGTATATGCCGAATTTTGTTTAGAGAGCCTTATACTGTGGGGTGAGTAAAAATTACAGAATCTGAATCTAAGCGCCTATGAGAACCGTATGCACTTTAAGTGCAATGCACCACAGGCTTCAAAAGACATTTATTTATACATATTGGTTTGTCCAGTAACCTCTGAGCTTTTCAGTAACAACAGGTAACAACAGTGTACTGGTGGTGCAGTTGAGTATCCCTTATTTGAAATGTTTGGGACAACATCTTTTGGATCTTCCATTACAAAAAACAAACCCAAATTGTAATACTGATACACACACACACACACACACACATATATATACACATACACACACATACATACATACATACATACATATAATGAGATATGATATCTTAGAAATGGGACCCTAGATGAAACACAAAATTCATTTACATTTCATATATACCTTCTATATGTCGCAGCTGGGGTTCCAAACATTCAACCCCTTCTGCGGAAGTTGTGCCCTTCATCCAAGGAGGAAAAAACCAACAAAAACAAACTGTCTTTTAGCAAAGAAATATTTATATGAAGGTATTTACAAATAAAGCAGTGTCCTTAGAATATTCAGCTGCTTCCACATGATGGCTTGTAAACACAAAGTCCTTATCTCCAGATAAGATGCCACAGTCTTGTTCTTCAGACGTTGTAGCAATAATACACCTCCAGCAGCTCCAGCCTTGGGCTCCAAACTCTCTCACCAATCTTCAACCTTTCTCCAACCTATTTCCAGCCTCGAGTAACACAATGTACTTAGTCTCTATTAGTAGTACTTCAACTCCCACAAGTGGCTTGATTGTTGCTGGCCATACAATGATTGGACATGATTCTTACAATCACTTACCCATTTTTCACTTTAGAAATGACCTAAACAATATAAAACTCTGACACTATACACAACGTGAAGGCAATTTTATACAGTTTAAAAAATAATAGTTTGTGTATCCTGAAGCATCAAAAAGCAAAGTTATTATATTATGAGTTGTTGTAGGTTTTTTGGGGCTATATGACCATGTTCTAGAGGCGTTTTCTCCTGACATTTCGCCTGCATCTATGGCAAGCATCCTCACTACCTCTGAGGATGCTTGCCATAGATGCAGGCGAAACGTCAGGAGAAAATGCCTCTAGACCATGGCCATATAGCCTGAAAAAACCTGCAACAACCCAGTGATTCCAGCCATGAATGCCTTCGACAATACATTATTATACTATCTTAGTCACCCATATGGACAATTTTGGATTTGCAAGTCTTTTGGATTTTGGAATTCCAAATAAGGGATGCTCAAGTTGTATTTCCAAAAGAACCCTCAAAATGTCTTCGTTCTTGAATAACTATTGATTGTATCATGGGAGACTGTGACTTTCTTCATGTGAGATTCACAGTTACACATGACTGCACGGGTGCAATTGCACATAAATATGTACATGCCTGCAGGCACACATGCTTAGCCCTCTACTTGTCCTCGGTTGCTTCTTGCGTGCTATAGCTGGGTTGCACAGAGGGGACAGCTCAGTGTACCATGACGAGGATAGGAATTCCTGATTTTCCCAAAGTGAAGCCATGTGTCAGGCTCACCACAACACAGGCAGATAATGAGAGGTTTCTTCTTCTCATGGTGGGTGCAGCAGAAGGGGGTTCCTCTGGGCTTTGCTGCCCCAATCATGACTGGAGGGGTCACTGAAGGTCATGCTGGAGCTCCCCTGCCATCATCCTCACCCAGTTTAGATTGTGGCTTTCAGGCCACTCCCTAACACTGGGTAGGGGGGGTTACGCACAGAGATATGCAGCTGGCTTTGGGATTTGGGGAATACATCTCTGCCCACATCTGTAAGTTAACCTGCTCCAAGACACTCCCAATATGGTCGCTCCAAGAATGGACATTTTTCCCTGCCAGTGCCAGTGAAGTCAGGGAGCATCAGCAATATGACAAGTGATGTGTACCCTGTTAGTAAGTTAAGTAATTATAACTCAAGCACATTGGAGGAAAGGGGAAATTGGGATAGAGAGAGTACAGAAGGATATCTGTGAAGTAAAAAATGAAAGGAGCTTTGGTTTCCTGTGAGTTTTCCAGGCTGTCTGGCCGTGTTCCAGAAGCATTCTCTTCTAATGTTTCACCCACATCTATGGCAGGCATCCTCAGAGGTTGTGAGATCTATTGGAAACTAAGCAAGTGAGGTTTATATATCTATTGAATGTCCAGGTTGGGAGAAAGAACTCTTGTCTGCCTGAAGAAACTGTTGCAATGGGCATCTTGACTAGCATTTAATAACTTTTCAGCTTCAAAACTTGGCTGGTTGCTGCCTGGGAGGATCCTTTGTTGGGAGGTGTTAACTGGCCCTGATTGAATCTTGTCTGATCGATTCTTTGAAACTGTAAGACTATTAAATGCTAATCAAGATGACCAATTGCACCATTCACACTTGCCTCAAACAGACAAGAGTTCTTTCTCCCACCTTGGACATTCCACAGATATATAAACCCCACTTGCCTTATTTCTAACAAACCTCACAACCTTTGAGATTGCCTGCCATAGATGTGGGCGAAACATCAGGACAGAATGCTTCTGGAACATGGCCATACAGCCTGGAAAATTTACAGCAACCTAGTGATTCCAGCCATGAAAGCCTTTAACAACACAAAGTGTATTTGGCTTACTTTTTGCAAATTGGTCTCCACTTCTGGATGAAAATATTTTTCTATTTGTAGCACATGGACTAGGGAGATATAGCAATCTCATCTGTTGTGTGCCAACATGATTACCAAATAAGGAAACAACTACATTAACATAACTACTGGTGAATAAGAATGAATTCTTGGGTAGCTATCAGTAGAATTTAGAAACAAATTCAACTAGCATAATTAAATGAAATTAAAAGGCCGCCACAATAAGAATACAGGGTGTATCCCAGATATTTCTCATGTTCTTTCCAGTTGTATACTGGATTAAAATAAACCAACCTGGGGATCTGGTATTGGGAACTGATGAGCTGACTAAAAATATAGGACAAATGAAATGTGTATGGACCTCCAAAATAAAACTGGAGAGAATAGAGAGAATCTGAAACTTTCTGGGATTTTTAATCAGCCTAGAGATTACTGTAAACAGTTTAGGACTACTTACTGGTCTCAGGACTGGGAAAGTGTACGCCGTGACACTGTGCCTGGATATAACATTGTGGCTTTCAAGGCATGGAAAGATCAAAGAGCCAAACAATTGACCCCGGCCTTCTGCAGCTGCCCACCCCTGATTTACATAGTAGTTATAGCCAACTGTATGTCCAAAATATATGATGACATAATTGTGATCTACAGAATCCCCGCATTGTGGACAACTTGCCTAAGGCCATTCAGTAAAATCTGAGGCAGGGGCTTACGAGCATTTAGGTTTGTCTTTTTGCTATTGGATCTGGAAGTAGAATGGCTCCTTCTTTTCCGATATCACTTATCTTTCCAAGCCGCAGACAGGCATGCCAGAGTTATAACATTATTTTTGCCACCTTGGTTACCAATGTATTTGTTCTTCTAACCGCAGGTAATTACAAACACAAAACAACACATAAAACAAAAGTAATGAAAATACACAGAAACAATGAATTCAACAGATTGGGGTATCATATATCATTGAGACTACGCAGATAAAACAATTTTATGTATGATGCATATTTATTTTGATCTTTCAGTAAATGTTAATTTTTTAATGTCAATCATGGGATTTCACAAGGTACGAATGGAACATTTCAAAACAGAATTTAAAAAAAGCTTACTTGGTTAATATACACTGTCACTGATTAAGAATAAAGGACATTTCCTGAAAATCCAGAAGAGGCAAAGGCTCTAAAGAAGAAAATCTGGAAAAAGATGGTTTCAAAACATGAGACCCTGTTATCCACTATGGCACTATGGGAAATATTTTGACCAAATTTTGCCATATCCCTATTCAAACTTTTTTG